TTAAAATTGCTCTAGTCTTTTGTTGTTTCATTTATAATGATTATTTGTAATCATGACTAATAGAATTTCGACTTGGTCATTTATTTTCCTTTACTTGTATAAGAATTATTTATTAAGGACTTTTGTGTTAAAGAATATTGTTAATAAGATATTTTAGCGTAATAAAATTTTATACTGCATTAATTGTTTCATTTTTTTTTTACTAAGCTGACATTTTAAAATTTCAGCTTTGAAATTGCTTTTAATTTATTCATTGAAATTTAAAACATTTTTTGAATTTAAGAATTTTACATATATATTTATAAAATTTGGTAATTTTTGAAATTAAGTTTCTACGCTGGCATCAGGTTAAAAATAACTTAAACAGTTTTAGCTTTAATATTTTTTAATGTATCATTAAAAAGTATAATATGATTTTTAATTCCAAACCAGTACTCATATATATGCATAAAATGTTACATTACCTTAATTATACCTTTTTAGTTTTAGCTAATTTTTTATTATTAAAAATATGAAATTGTGTTCGAAAGTTCCGACTGTTTGAAATTTTAATATCGTATAAAAACTAAAAGAAAAAATTAGACAATTTAAAAACAAACAACTAATAGCAATAACATTTTAATTATTTCACACAATTATAATAACAAATAGCATAAAATATTCATAGATCAACAGCAAATACAGTATCTATAATAAATGACTTGTGAAAACACTTTTTATCTATTTAATTGTATCAGTAGTAAACTATTAATTGCTAAACTTATGGTATAAAGTTTGCAAACATAAAATACAATTTTAAGGCTTTTAGTTTAATGCATTTATATTTAGTAGTAGATAAATATTAACTACTATTAATTTTATAAAAATAAACTGAAAACAAAAACATAATTTTTATTCAGATTGAAGATCAAAAGATGGGCTTCGTTATCTACATATTAAAGATGATTGTAACTTCATTACCCAAAACAATTTTAATATTAATAAACGAAACATTAACTTTAAATACAAGTAATCTTATTAATATTTATTTAAACTGTAAGGAGTTAGGTTGCTAATAGAGATGGTTGAAAACTTCAAGTTCAGAAGACTTTAGCGCACCAGGAATGATAATGAAGATATTTCTTTGCACCATTACGTATCTTTTAATTTTTTGTAGTATGAAATCGAAAGGTAAATTTTTTTGTCAAATTTTAATAGGGTCAAAGTTGTTTAAGATAGAACGTTTAATAAAACCGACTGATTAAATGTTAATAAAGAATTTCTCAATTTAATAGGCGTTTTTAGATTTTTATCAAATTTTAAGGGTTTTTTTTTTCCAAAAAAATTCCAGAATTTAACTATGTCATGTCTAACAAAGATGTTTATTATGTTATGTACTAAGTACCTAAAAGAAAAGAATTCCCATTGAAAAATTTCATAATTTTTTTTTAAAGGGATTTATGTGATAAAAATGTTAAAAGTATCTATTTGAATACAGCTTGAATTAAACTTTGCAGCTGTATTACATAATTTAATTTAATCAATTATTAATAATTTTCTTTCTAGTTTTATAATTTGATTATTGTTAGACATATCTTCATTACAGTTCTTCTATATATCTAATATTTTTAATAAAGTCACAAAGTAAATCATATATTTCCTTTAAATAATTTTTGTTACCGATAGAGCAAATATTTAACTTTTTGTTCTGAAAATTCCTATATATTATTGTATTTATTTTTTATTTTTTTAATCCTCAAAGGAAACTTAACTGACTTAGAAGATTTAAAATTAGTCTAAAAAACTCAGGAAGAATTAAAATTTTGCTATAAATCTACGGGGGAGAGAAATTAAATGCCTAGGTTTAATTTAATTTAGAGAAATTAAACCTGGGAAAATTTAAATTACAAGACCTTTATTTTTTTTAAAAAACTGGTATATTGTGTTGTAGTGTGCATTATTTCTTAGAACTGTTGAAATAATCAGAGAAATTCAAGAATTTTTTTCCAGGGATTAAATATAAACATTTAAATGTTTTTTTTTTTTTTTTTAAATTTCAGAAATATTACTTTTGTTGCCTTACATATGACTAAAATAAAAAAGAATATTTAAAATAACTATCTCAATTAAAAACATGGTAAAGATAAATTTATAAATTTCAACATATTTAGAAAATTTAAATACATTTTATTCTTTTAATGTTAAAATAAACAGAGCATACCATTTAAAAATAACTTATTTTTTATACGTGATTCAGGTATTATTTTGATAATATCAAATATCATTTGGCTGTAATAAATATCAATAACAATTTCTACCCAGCCTTTGAAAAAGAAATTAAAACTGTTGCAGTTTTTTTGTTTTATGAACTTAAGGTTTAGTAAAGAATAAAAATGTTTAGTCATTGATTACTATTAATTAAGTTGCACCATTATGATTAATGATATCTTTGTCATATTTAACAATATATACATATTTACACATTTATAAAGTTAAATAAGCATTAATTATTTTAAGTTTCGACCAAAATAGTGTTCCCACTCAATTTCAGGAAAAAAATTTCCAGCCTCTTCCAGGTATATCAGGTAAATTTTAAGGAAAATCCGAACCATATTTTATCTAATATGCAACATTTCATCAGAATTTATTTGTAATGCATAATATTAGATTTTGTGGGCAAAAAAAAAAGTATTGAATGAGGATGGGAACAAGTTAGTTTGCTTAAAATGTGAAATTTTTAAGGCAAATAATTATAATAGGTGTTAGAATTATTTAACTAGAATATCAATTACTCATAATGACAATTTTAAGACCAGTTATTTTCCAGGCATGATGTTGGAATTTTCCATGTTTTTGTGAAAAAAAAAATTTACTTTCCCTGCCTATTACCTAATTTTTGGAGTTAAAATAAAATTCCCTGACAATTCCAGTTTTTCCCTATTCTCCCTGACCTGTGGGAACTACGCAGATGTATATCTAAGAAGAAAATAAAAAAGAATTATCAAATAAAATTTTAATTTACAAGAATTTGCTTCTAAATTTATTCAAACAACTTTAATTTATACCTCAGTTGCAGATATCAAGTATCTGCAACTAATACATAGAGCGTTTTTAAGGAAGCCAATATGCTCCAAAATGCTAAAAACCTGCTGAACACAGTTCAACCAGTTATAAAATAATGAAAAGATATGGTGCTCATAAATCATGGTGCTCGCTTAAAAACAACTATTTTGAATTTGGAAGCATCTAATAGGAAATTACTACTTGTCTATAAAAGATTTAAAAACATTGTTAAAAATTTATATACATAATAAACATTTTCAAACATATGCGGACTCATGTACATTGTCAATCAAACAAAATTCTGTGATCACAAAGGCCAGTAATAAATTTTCATCATAATATATAACTACATTTAAAGAAAAAGAAAATTATTATTGAAAGAGTGTAACAAACATGTAATTAGTTACAATGTTACTTATGAAAAAGTAAATAATTTTCACAATAATGTGTATGTTACCCTTGTAACACATGACTTTCCTTCTGAAAAAATTTCAGGCGACAATTTCAGATATTTTATAAATACCATAAAAATTACTTCCACATTCATAGATAATGTAAAATTACACATAATAACAATAGAAAAAAAGCAGCTATAGCTTGGGAAATGAAAAATTTGGGGCCATGATGACACAGCGGTTGAGACACTGAACCAAGGCTCTATCCATAGTGGTGGCTTGTAAAAAACTCAACTTCATATCGATGGGTAAAGTTACAAGTTTGTTGCGGTACTAATTGCCGTAAGGCTAACTGTGGGGGTTTACGTAGTTTTTTTTTCTATTTGGAGCAAAAGTTAAATCAAAACGTCTTCCACAAAGGCTAGTTTGTCCCAATTCTTGAATAAAAATTTCCCTTGTCTTCTAAATTGGGTTCAAAATTGCCAAGGCTACGGAATTCAACATTAATAGTCGCAAACTTTGAATTAGGTGAGCTGTTTAACACCGGTTATAAAATAAAATATTTTTTCTAAAACCCAGGAATTTTTAGAAATGCTAAAATTTACACGAAAATATTTCAAAATGTTAGATTTTTTAGGTTTTTTTTTTTTTTTTAAATTTTTTACTTGCATTTTAGCAGCAAATAGTACTTTTTTGAACCTTCAAAATTGATAATAAACAACTAATAAAACATTTTGGGAAATCTATATCAAAATGATAGTGAAATAGTTTAAAGATAATCCAAATCCTGTCATGTTAGGTGATTTTTCAATTCTTTGAATGATAAATTTATAAGGATATCATGCTTTCTGAAGAGCAATAAGAATACAACAGGAAGAAAAAAACATTTAACTAGCTCCTTCCTTAAACAGAAAATTTAACAAACTGACTGAGACAATGACATGGCTTAATCCTTTGTATTATCAAACACATGAACATGCTGACAAAGGAATATTTGATGAATGAAGAAACAATATTTATACGATATTTCATACTGAGACTGTTAATTTGCTTAAAAGTATTATTATATCATAAAATAAAAAGAAATAATTTTTCAGTTCTTTTATACCTTTTTATTTCATTTTTTACACGGTATCTGCTAAATTTTAGATTTTCAAATCCATGACTTTTCATGACTAATTCCAAGAATTTTTCATGACTTAACGAAGTTACTATTTTCTCCGACAAAAGCGCAACAATAAATTTAAAAAAGCATTATAATAACATTAATTGAATTAATCGAATAATAATTAATTGAATAATAACTAATTGAATTTCTAGAAATGAGGTTTTTTCTTTCATTTTTTGAAAGAACACTAATTTTAAACACTTATTATAAATAAAAATTTTATATTTTAATAAAATATTACTGTGAGTGGGGATTTTATTAGAAATTCAGATATTCGGAACACCATGAAATGGGGGGGGGCGGATAATTCCAATTTAAAAATTAGATTTTTCGGCGACCTAAGTTCATGTCTATCCATGATTTTTTTTTAAAAATAGTTAAAATCATGACATTTCATAACAAATTTTGTTCAATACCTAAATTCATGATTTTTCATGACTTTCCAGGTGCGCAGATACCCTGTTTTTAGGATGGTCATGGTTTTCAATGCATATAATCTGTGTTTGTTTGTATTTGAGTTCTTTTGTAATTTTCCACAAATGTAGGCCTTTTTTTGCAGTAAACTTGCAACCCTATCATACCAGTTTGTCTAGGAAATAAAAGCAACTGATGTCTTATGTAGGCCAAATTATCATTATAATGGCACTAGTCTTGAAACTGTATAGCCTTAATCTCCATGACCCACAACTGCCTTTTGCAAGAGTGCTTTACTAATATCTGTCCAATAAGATTACATTTTCTCAAAAGTATAAGTAGAATTTAAAGTCTCAATGAAATTAAATTTGAAATCTTTAATGATGTAATAAAACTGTTGAATAAACCTAAAAAATTCATTAAAAAAAAAGCACTCATGAATATAAACCAAAATACGATTGAAAGCAAAGGAGTACCCAGCATAAAAAGTTTAGGAAGCCCCGATTTAAAGAATTCAAAAATAATTTTTAGAACTTTTTAAAATATGCAACAATTTTAAATTACATGGTTTTTTTTAAAAAATATATAAATGGGAGTTTAAGAAATTATAAGTTCAGAATGCACATTATGTGATAGAAAATAATATATGTTATAGAGTTATGTGACATAACCAGCATACACATTGTTTATACTCAAATTATATCAATAATATCTAAAACACTTTAAACAGAACCAAATCATAATAAAAAATATTTTTGATAAAATCAACATATTTCAAACATTTGAAACAATGTTAAAAATTAAATACATTAATAGCTTATTTAGAAAGCCATGAAGTAAAATTCATAAATTAGAGAGACGAAAACGTACTAGAAAGAATAATTACACATTAATAGCAGGAACAGCATTGTTTTCCTTCAAGTAATTAATTAACAGTGGCATGTCTTGCTTGATAGCATAATCTAATGCAGTCTGAAACAAAAGAATAAATAAATTAATATTTTTATCATAAAATTTTAATTATACATCCAAAATAATTAGTATATATGAAACAAATCATTTTAAATTTGAATATGTGTAAGCATCTGTTTTTAGAGATAAAACCATTAACCTCAAAATAAAAACCATTTCAGAGATCAACGAAATGCTTGTTTCATTAAAGCTTTCATTTTGATAAATTATTCTAAATAAATAAGCTTTACAAAATAAAATTTAAAAAGAATTTCACATTTAAAAAAAAAAAAATTCTTACCATATCCATTTATATTTTACTATTACAATTCATAATTTGATGCTTCTTCTTCTATTTATATAATATTTTATCCTTTGAAATAAGTATTATTTATAAAAATTGCTAAGTCAAGAAGTTTTCTTAACTTAGCAGTTTTTATAAATTCAAAACTTTCTTCTGGTTTAGAGTAATCCAGTTTAATACAATGTATATGTAATTAAAAAAGAGCTACTTTAAATTACAAACATTCAATTATTAAATGATCCTTTCATGGGATTTTAAAAAGAATAATTTAATCTACTTTTTATTTCATAGAGCATTTTGTATGTACTTTTTATGCATATAGTATAATATTATGCAGATACCTAAACCTTTAAAAAGTTATCTCAAATGAATTTATCACTAGGAAAACATTGAATTAGCAGAAAAATTTAAATACAAGTTAGATAGTATGTTTTGGTGCAAGGGCCAAAAAAGGTTATATTGAAATAACTTTATTATGTATTAACTTTACAAATTACAGGTTCCAATATTATATAAGAAAATTTTCTGATTTATTTAACAAATTTTTAGGTATATACTAAATTGAATTTTAAAATCCAAAGTTTTTAAAGTAGGAGAAAAGATAATCATGAAATTTATCACCAATAAGTAAATTCTAAGAGTAACAGCAGCCAAAATAGCATTATCTTAAATTTAAATGTTCAAGATAGTTTTTGATACCAGATCAAATCACCCTTATATAAAAAACTGTTTCAATACAATAATTACCCAGCCATTGCAATTCAACTCAGAGACAATTAACTTAATCAATCATCTATTTAACTTAACCCTAAGGTCAATTCAATCTTGATAGTCACAAAACATGTTTAAAGCAGCATTGGCAGTACTTTATAAAATATGATATATTTGCAGAAGTCATTTTGGTGAGAATGAAAATTAACTCTAAATAACCAAACATTTGTTAAATAGCCTCTATATTTATGTTTTTTTTTCCTTCGAAAATTGAGATGTTACTGTCATACAGTGCTCTTCTTAAAATCACATTCCTTCTAAAGTTATTTGACTTTTTAAAAGCGGCTGATCTTATAAAACGGCACACCTGCATCAAGTAAAAAATAAATAAATAAATCAAAGTAGAACTTTACACATACACTGAAAACTATATTACAACACTTATATTTCATTTTAACGATTTTAATTTCATTTAACATAAATTTTTATTAAAAGAAAGCAGCATTTTAATTCATTTATTTTTATTTTACAGAAGGGTTTAAAAATATTTGTATAAATATTAATTAGTTTTGTTAAAAAAGAGGCAATGAAATATTGTTGATGCAGCATTGAAAAATTCTTTATATTGAAAATTCTTTATATTGAATTCTTTATATTCAAAATATTTGAATTTGATGCAAAATTGTTTATAATCAGTATAACAAAAAGAGAAGGAAAGAATATCTCTACTCTTCTCTTTTCAATTTGCATCATCAGAACAGCTTAAAGCGGGCTCCAAAAAACTCCTTGTCGCGGAACTGACAAATGGAATACATAAGACAATGTATTCTTTAGTTTATTTATTTGTATTTCTTTTTAACTGGAACTGAAACTGTTGATAGGAATTTAATAATTTTTCTTCATTCATAAGAAGTTTCTCCCCCATCCACTGTGGAACAAAAATCATTTTTCACGGTCAAAAATAAAAAAAATTAAGTTATAAGAAGAAAAAAAATTTAAATATGGTTTTTTGTAGTAAAATGTCCAAGGAGTATTACGTTGTATTTTGTTTTGTTTTTTTGGTTTATTAATGGAAATAGCAATTAAATAGAAACAAAGTCGAAATAAAAAAAATGAAATTTTTCAGTTAAATTTTTATTATGATAAATCCTTATAGTAAATAAAAATATTAAAACTATGCATGATTTATACATAATGGATTTCTAAGATATATATGAATTGATTAATTTAATATAAATACTATTAAAACCAGAGCCATTTCCCTATTTCTCCCCTGTACAATGAAATTGTAACTTTAGGGTGCTCTATAAAAAAAAGCCTTACGTTGCCGAGGTAAAAAACAAATTGTACATTTGTTTGGTATATATACTCAAGAACTAAAAAAAAATTAGCTGCCAATATTTGCAAATTTGGCTGATATATCGATTTTTATAGTTCGTGTCATTTTTATAATAATGATGAAATTAATGAAAAAATTATAAAAATAAACTTGAGATTATTATTTTTGTTATAACATTTTCAAAATTTTTTATATCTAGCAAAATAGATTCATTATTTTTTTTAAATTCGATAATCGAATTTGTAATTAACAATCTTAAATATTTTGATTCAATTTATTTAGTTTAAATTTGTTTTGATAAATATTTGCGATTTTACATCCATTACTTTATTTATTAAAATTATTAACCACAAATTTGTAATCAAAGATCTCAAAAACTACTAGTAAATAATTTGTATTTATTTATTTACAATTTTTTCAATAATCATCCGCCATTTTGTTTTTTTGAAATTTTGACTTCATATTTGAAATCAGTGACCCAAAAAACCTAATCGTGATCAATTTTTAGAACATTGAAGTTAATTTTCTAATTTTGGTCGCATTTTTCTGATTTTGTCCCACTGTGCCACCCCTTGTTTTATCCCTTCTTAAGTCTGATTTTCATTCACAATTTTCCTAAGTGTAATCCACACCTGCAACTTTGTTTCAGTTCATGTTTGGAAGAGTCTTTCAGCTGCTACATATCTTTCAAAAATTAAACGGAAGAAAGTTCTAAATAATCATAAATAAAAATAAAAAAATCTCCCCCTTTATTAAAAAATATGCCTACTTAAAGCTTGATTTTATAAAATGGAAATTATGATTTTAAAAAGTGGCTGATTTAATATAGAGGGATTTTAATAGTTATGTCTTCAAAAATTGCAAACATTAAATTTTATTACTTAATTATATTTGAATAAATAATAAAGAGTATTTCTCTTAAGCTATATTGACTTCATAAACAAAACAAAAATAAATATAAGTGTGCTTTAATCCGTATTTATGAGTAAGAGAGTAACAGCAGGGGTCTGTCTAGGCTTTTCTGAGAGGTACCTATTTTGTGAAAATTTAGTCATAATTTGTGAAAAATTAAAAATTGTATTAAAAAATCAACACAAAAATATGGGAAAAATAAGGATTTATCGTTTCTTAAGGGATGCAAAAATAAAATTTTAAGAAAAAGTATTTGGGGAAACTACCATTTTTCCTAAAGTTGAATTTGTGAAGGTACCGCTAAACGGTAGTAAATTCGGCCTGGACAGACTCCTGAATAGTGATTTGATTTAAGTTAAGTCTTTTATGGTTTAATAGAGACAGACTTGTAATTTGTTCTTCAACTTACATTTTGAGCTTGTCTTTATTATAATTTTTTTTTTTTACTGAATATAACAACTACATAAGACATTTTTAAATTTAATTATTTTCATTTAAATTAAGGAAGAATTTAACTGTCCTTAATTTAAATTAAAGGAAATCACAATTCACTTCATTTTAAATATGAATATAACTTAGAAATATATTAATGCTGATTATAAATAAAGAGAAAACAAAGAGTAAATTAATGAAACCAATTAAATTCTATAATAATTTGAAATGCATTTATAAAAAACTGAGTAAGACAATATATATATAGCTTTTAAAAAATAATATGGAACTATTCAATAAAATATATTCTGCGATTTAAAATAATATGAAATACAATTGAACTCCTTTACAGCAAGCCTTGATTTAATGAGTGATTGCTTTCGTACCTCCATTCTCGCTATAAAGGAATATGACTGTAAGTACCAAAATTAACAATGCATCTCCTTACTTTTTTGAACACATCTTTGTTATTGATATCAAATAACTCAAGACCATAACATTTCACAGCTTCAATTATGCAAAACACTTTTTCTACATTTGATTCGATAACAGCAGAATGTAGATTCCTATACAAAAAAATATTCTTTTCTCATTACATTTCTTCTTTTATTTACAAGTAGGTAAAAGAACTTTAGAAGTTATAAAAGAATTGATCACTGTTTTACTCACTTTACTAATTTATGCTTATTTTAAAAATAAAAAGTTATACCCTACAATAAATTTTGTAAACTATTACATTTTTATTGCAGGCATAATAAAGCAAAAAAAAAGGAGGGCAAAACGAAAAAAAAAAAAGAAGAAAGATTTAAAAAAATTAAAAGAATAAAATATTTAAAAAATTAAAACTGCATTTTTATGCCTAAAACAATTTATTAATTAAACATATTTTGAATTAAATGCTGCTACACAGGATAAAAAATATAAAATTTAATACTATGTAAGTTACAGAAGTATTTTATTGATATTAATGATGTATCAATCATTTTAATAAGAATTGATACATCATATCATATCACTAGGTCAAAAAATATAGTAATTGAAAATTTTTCACAATATCTTGGAATGATAGAATGTTTAAAACTATGTTTTAACTAAATACACAACTACATACAAATAAAACTATTATTATAAGCATGAAATAATAAAGTAGGATATCTGACCAGCAGTTTAAATTAATACATAATAACTTTACTGAAAATAATTAGTAAATGGTCCCAATAAAAAAAAAATTTAAAAATTTTAATTGCCAGCATCTGATCTCAATTCTTTTCAATTCATTGGTTTAAAGTTTGTTTTTTTTATATATATTTTTTAAAGTATATGATAGGAGCTTAAAAGCCATGTAATTATATTTTTACATGTTCGAAAATAAAATTTTTAAAAAAAAAATCGGAAAATGACTAAAAATATTAGAAAAAGTGGAAAATAAATGATGCGAGAAAAATCTTTTGTCTGTTATTACTGAGAACAAAATTAATATTAGAAGAAATATTTAGTGTTAAGTATTTAACTTACGTTTGTTGCAGGTCCTTGAACTTTTCTCTTTCGTCATAATCAATTATTTTTACATTTTCCATTCTTTTCTCTTGCCATTTTATTTTTTTTAATATTTTTCTTCCTTCCACTCTATACTTTTCGACATCAAAAAATTCTGAGTTTCGAAGAGCTCTTTTAGCATTATCCCTACAATAATAACAAATATAAATTGATTTTAAGAAAGCAAAACTTATACCTGAATTGTAAATGTAATTTCGAAATTTTTTTTAAACGTATTTTAGGATTTTTCCTTTACTCACAGTACTCAAAAGAAAGAAAAGAAATTGATACAAAAGAAATTTCTGTTTATATATATATATAACTAAGATTACAACCAAAAAAAAAATCAGATTTCTCACTACTTTTCCCAATAATAATGATTGAAAAGCCCTTCATCATTCAAAGAAAAAGTTTATTGATATTTTTGTTTGATATGGATGGTAAACTAAGTGTAAACAATAATAAGATTCTAAAGTCAGATTGGAATTTTGTAAACTTCTGATAAATACCTCTGTTTATGTTATGTCTACAAGAGGATGAGTGAGCAAGGTTGATACTATAGAAAGTTATATTATTGAGATTTGTATTTAAATTTGCACATCATTTTATGACCCATAAGATTTTTCTATGATTTATAAATTCTAAAACGTCATGAGGCATTAATCGATTTTAAGAAATAAACAAGACAAAAGTATAAGGGTTACCATGTTTCCCGTGTTATCTTCAGTTTCTATCTGTTCATTGATTTGCAATTTAAAAAGTTAAATTGATTTACAAGTTGAATGACAAATAGCACAAGTCAAATTGCAAACAGTGCAAGTACAATAACAGTATAAGATAGCATGTTTTTTTAGCTTAGGCACAAAAATAAAAATAAACTCAGCCCATAGAGGGCCAAGACCTACTGTGCCCATCTCAGTTTTCTTGACCTTCGGGCTCTGGGGTACAGGAGCAGATGTTCCGGTTAGGTGGTCAGCCGAACGCGAAACCTCCAGTGTTTAGTTCCCAAGCATGTTTGGTACTCATTTATCGATCCACTGAAGAGATTAAAGGCTGAGTCAACCTTGCTCGGCCCGGGGATCGAACCAGGGACCTGTGGCATGACAGTGCGAGGTGCCTGGTGGCTGTGCTACCGCTCAGCCACCAGGCGTCAGGCACAAAAATAAATTGGAAACAATTAATAGAAAGTCTTATTGCGAATTTTAACAGTTAGCGCCACCTTTGCTTAGCTTTACATGGTTCCCCATCAATACTTATGATACATGAATACACATTCAATTATAAAAAAATATACATATTTACATAAGCCTCATTTCATATTTAAGATAATATTAAAAATACTTGCTTTTTTTTTTTGGAGGAATAATGCAAAATTGTCATCGTTTAATAAATTTCAGAAAAATGGTTCGATCTCAAATTCTATCAAGTCTGCAATTACTGAACTTCATTACTGATACTAAAATTGAAAATAAGTAAAACAGAAGATTAAGCATATTGATTTCAGCAACTTACTTTATGTTATAGCTTATTTTACGTTTACCACTTTCCTCTTGCACAACAGGCCTGTAACAAAGTACAGGATTTTGGCTCGGTACAGAGTCAGAGTTTTCGGAGCTAGAACAGATTGTTCCACTAGTACTTTGGTTAATTTCAGACTTAAGTAGTTCATTAACAAACTCATTAAACAAATCCTCAAAATCTTCATCTGGCACTTGAAATTCAGCAGGTGTGTCAAGATAATTCACTGAAGCATCTCCTATTGTAGGATTTCCAGTTATGTTTGTTTCCACTGAATCTATAGGATCGTATCTTGAATGAAAAATTTGTTCAAGATTATCACCACCATTATCACGGATATTAGAGTTTTGCTGTGACTCTTCAATTTGATAAAGTTTTACCTCCTCTATAATTGAATTATAAATTTCCTGGATTCGAATCCTCTTTTCTTTCTCCTCTTGATCTTCATCATCTAATGGTACTTCAGAATCCCTATTGGGCGGTGATGAGGAAACAATTGGTGGTGATGGAGATCCAAATCCAGAATCAGGACTATTGACATAATAACTTTCAGTGCAAGAAATGTTAAAATCAGAGTTAACTTGGCAAGCATTGAAAGGTAAATAGGAAGGCAAGCTTGGTTGGACTTGATAAGAACTAGAGTTATTTTCTAGAACAAGACCTAAATTGGTGTGAAGCAAATTTTCTCTTTTAAATTCTGATGGTGAAGGGGGGCGTCGATAAGAATAAACTTTCTTCTTATGTGATCGTTTCTTTTTTTCTTTACCTCTTTCAATTATACTTGTTTCATTTTCAACATCAGATGAATCCGATGAAGATGAATCAGTTAATGGTTCTAATTTGATGATTTGAAAATCTTCATCTTCGATTTCCGTTTTAATAGGTGTTGCAGGAACTTTTTCTTGATTCAGTTTTAAAATGTTGGGTGAAAAATAGGTATTTCCTTCATTTTCAATTTCTGTATTTTTCTCAAAATCATTTCCCCCGCTATTATTTAAGTCAAATTTTTGTGGCTTACTTTCACAAAGATTTTTTTCAGCACAATCCTTAATACCATTTTCAACAAGGCAATTCTTAAGTTCATTATCTAAATTATCCAAAGTTCCTGAAAGATCAGGAATAGATTCCAGTGTTAATTGTTCAAAAATATTATTCAATAAATCTTGGTCAAAGTCAAAATCTTTATCTTTTAAATCCATGATGTAATTAAAAATATGTCACATTATGCATAGTAAAATCTAAAAAGGAAGAAGAAAAAACATATTATTTTACATATAACAAGATTACTTATCAAATAATAGTGAATGATAAGGTCAAATTTAAAGGAAAACAACAGCGATATTTTATTTTACACACATATCTTATTTATTTATTCCTCAGCAATATTTTATAAGAAAAGAAAGTCTTACCTTACAAAGAAAATATACTACAATACAATTTTTTTTCTTTTGAAAATCTAGCCAACATCCTATTTATTTTGCATACATTATTTTTTATTTTATTATTCTTGTAGCTTCTATATTTTCAACTTGTAACTCTTTTCTTTTTTAAATTATATGGGGTGTTTTTAAATAGTCTATCATTATACTTATAAGAAAAAAGAGATGAAAATTATAAATGTTTCATTTAGAATAAAAATATAAAATGTGACTGGCATTGCAAAGGAAGGACTCTGTGTAAAACACATTTTTATTTCAAGATTCGTCTTCTTATAAATGCAATGATGGTATTATTTTTTAAATGAATTTAAATAGGTGATAGGTCCCCCTTCTCACCATCTTTAAAAGTGATGCATCCAATGCTATTTTGTTTCAGGAGTAATAAAATTTAATTTTATCTTTTCCTACGCTCACTTGAAAAACGTAGTATTTAAAATTTTATTTTACCTCATTATTTCATTTATTACAAGCAATCAAAAACCTTATACACATTTAATATATCGAATACACAGTTAAAGTATTGAATTAATATTAAATTAACTTTATAATTGAACCATTATATGTTACTTCATTTTGATTTCTCTCAATTTTAAATTCACAGTCAGAGAAAGAGCTTAACGGAGAAAAAAAAATTATCAGATTTATTTATTTAAATTTTTTATATTTGTTCACATAATCTGTTGGCTAGAACAAATTGATTGTTGTTTGCCTGATTGTCTGACTACAGCATAACAAAATTTTAATCGCAAATAGTTAAAAATGATTGTTATAAAAAGACCACATACAAAGGAAAGGAAATTTAACCTAATAATCAATTAGAAAATTAGTCTTTCCTCACTATAATAAAATATTTTAAATCAATTATAGTTAAGAAACAGTTGTTACCAATCAATTGTAAATAATAAAGGACAATTTTTAAATTAATGGCTAAAATAACTTAACAATATAAATATTATTTTCTGTCATTTCCGCACTACAGTGGAAGTCGCGGTTGTCAAGACAACCGCCCACCTGCCGAAGCTCCACCCATTTTCTCCTGAAGATCATTCTTTCTCAGGATGCTCCTCAGAGGAAGTAAAATTCTTTCCAAGTCTGGCTATCGTTCAAGTGGCTTGGGTTTTGGCAGTCATGGGGGAAGGGGTTTCTCGAATAATTGGACTCCCTCCCTAAAAATATGCGTTTTTGGTCTGAAATTTTAAAAATTGGGAGAAAAAAGTGCATTTACGCTTTTTCGCGGAAGTCTTTCATCATTGTTGCAATCTGGAATATATGGTTTCAATAGTTTAAAGCAGGGTTCGTTGATTTAAATCACAATTTAAATCATGATTAAAATCAAATGATTTTTTTAAAAAAATCATTGATTTAAATCAACTGATTTTTATACATATATTATATTGATTTTAAAAGTTAAAAAACAGTGCTTCAAATTATTGATACTTTTATTATTTTCTTTTCTTAGTTTTAAAATTTATTTTAAATAAATTGCTGCATTAATTAATTTTAGTTAAAAAAATTACTTTCTTTCTTGGAGTGAGTTAAACACATTTAAAATTACATGTTTAAAAATCTTTTGATTCTTAACATTGAAAGTACAGATTAAAGTAAATATTTAATGCTGTCTTAATATAGACTTTGCATAGCTGTAGAAAGAAAATAAACATGCTTTTTTTTCAAAAAGCAAATGTTAATTAAAATTCTACCTTTTGATTAAAAAAGCATGAAATTCAAATCTACATTATAGTTTATTGATGGAAATTTCTATATTTCTAAAGCTTGAGGTTATATTAAAAAGAAATTACCTTAATATGCCAAAAATAAAAAAAAAAAAAAAAGCTGAGTTCAGATATTTTTTTCCTGATATAGTGTCATTCTTCCCTATCAAAGTCTATTTGAAGCAGTAGGGTTATTAACTGGTTTTTATTTTTCTTCTCATAATATGTTTACGGTATCTTTGAAATTATCAGATTTTCTTTTGTGAAAAAAAATTCCAATGAGTACATAGATTTTTTTAAAAATGTTTTTTAGCTTAACTTATGTATTTTGATAAAGGATTAAAAATGAATATTTTAACATAAAAATATATAGATTGAATATTTATTTTTTGATGAATAACAACATTTATAAACACAATCTGTTGCATTTATTTTGCCATTTTATAAATCATGAGGAAAAAAAAGAGATCACAGTTTTAAATTAAAATTATGCTGTGCTAATTGAAACTTTGTGTTATTAGTTAAAGTAGTATTCTTTAAATTATCTATTTTATCTTGTCTTTTAATTTCAATCATGCCTTTGTATCAAAATGGTCGCTATGCATTATAATGAAAAATTATTTTAGTAAGTTAGAGCTTCTAAAATATTGTTATAATATAGTTTTAATATTAATTTAATTTTGATTAAACATTTATAAAGTTTTTTTGATCATAAATTAAAGCTCTTATAGTGTATTTAAATAAAAATCAAAAAAATCTGATTTAAATCAAAATAATCTGATTTTTTTGATTTTTTTTAAAAAAATCAAAAAAATCACGAACCTTGGTTTAAAGAGAGTAGAAAGTATGGACCCCTTAATGCAAAGTACACTTTTTTGTGTATTTCGCTAACTCACAATAAATTTTTTTACAAATCAAAAGATTTCTGTACACAGTTACAAAATTTTTGTTAATCCAAAGGAAATTTGATTTACAAAAATTCGTGTAATTATTTATTATTTTATTTAAAATTTGAAGGAAAATTGAATAGTCGTATATTTGAAAAGTCGTATATTTAAAACTTGATTTCCTGAGAACTATTCTCAAAATTTCATTTAAATTTTGTAATTTTTCATTTAAAATTACATATTGAAAAATCTAATACCTTACTGTTCGAATTCTCTTCATTAGAAAAAATAAATAATGATCATTATTATTTTACATCCAATTACAAATTTCATAATTGTGTGCAAAAATTTTTTGGTTAACTTATCTAGTTCTGGAGATGCAGCGAAATACGTAAAAAATGAAATTAAAATGATAGTGTACAACATTTTATTTATTCTTCTGCAGAAATTATTGGGATCATATTTTTTAGATTACAGACAGCTTGCTCCTTTTTTATATTTCGAGGGTCAGAATTCTAAATCTGACGAAAAAAGTATGTTTATTCTGAGAAAGTATTTTCTGTGTCTGATTTCATAATTTAATTTAATAACTACTAATTAATTAACATATTTAAGGTAAAACCTTTGAACTAATAGGATTGAGCATATGAAAATCCGATCATTAGATTAGATCAAAAGTAATTTTCGACATTCACTTTTTATTTTGCACACAGTATGTCACACGCACCGTTAACATAAGCTGGAGTAGAATACCAGACGCCTCTGAAAAACAAATTAGATACATAGTTACAAATCACAGTCCGAGCAGCAAAATCACAAAAAATTAAAGGATAACCTTTTAAGTGACTGGTCACAAATGAAATCACATCACTTGAGGTTCATAATGAACATGAATATACAATTTTACGTAATTATTTAAACTAGCTCTATTTAACTTTGAACAAAGAAAAATGATTTTTATTTATTATATTTTGAATAATATCCAAGTCCTAAAGTTAATTTTTTCTGCATTTATATCACTTGAAAAAGTAGAATTTTATTAAAAAGAAGAATGTAGGACAAAATATTGTTTGTTTGGTTTTCTTTGAATACCTAGCAAATATAGGCATTTTTTTTCTTCCAAAATATAGGAAGAATAGGAAATACAGACAATGGTAAGGCCATAAATCATGATGTAGCATTAAAAAAAGCATAAAATAATAATACCTGCCTTACATATAAATAATTAAAAATAAAATTAAATAATTTAATTTTTAAGTAAAATATAAAAATGAATAAAAGATTGAATATGATTTAAGAAGTAAAATATTCAAGTTTCAAAAAAATATAGAAGATATTTCTATAATGAGATCCAATTATAATCACCAAGACGTCAAATGGATTTTAAACTTGAAATTTTTTAACAAAAAAAAAAAAAAAAAATTTTAGGGTNAAAAAAAAAAAAAAAAAAAAAACTGGTAGAAGCTATAAGTTATACTCTTTTAATTGGTCTCCTTCTAAGATCCTTTTTTCGGTTCAAACAAAAACAAGACAAGATAATTCGTGATCGCAACGCTCGAGTACGCCCTCTAGCGGGAGCCTGTAAATATCAGACATTAATTTATCACGTTTTTATTTAGTTCCATAAAAATCATGGGCCATGATGGACGCCATTTTCTTAGCAGCAAATAAAAATCAAAATTTCCCTAAGGAAAAGCTGAAGAACTTGAAAAAAGTAACCAGAACATGCCAAACATTGAAGCAGAACACGCCGAGCATTTGATGAACAATTTCTCCATAATTTTTACCTTTC